ATTTAACACTCAAAATTTACTAAATCCAATTTTACAGGATTTTCTAAATTCCACTAAAATTAAATCCCGCTTGTTGCCACAATCCTAACAATTCTTCACATCCGATCTCCACATAGAATAATCTCTTTTTTTTAGACGTCTTTATTCTTGCTTTATAAAGCAATTTTTTAATAAAAAAAATTCTCAAGCTAAAAATTTTTATACAAAAATTTATTTTATAAAATAATAAAAAAATTATTCCACTGAAGACTGAAGCACTGCCTAGACAGTTTACGCCAGAGAGTATCAAAAAACACTGAATTTCAGCCAACTGCTTTAAACTTTTATGTACTCACAACATTTTGGCTTTATGAATCAATCAAATGGCTTATGTAGATCATAAATTAGAGTAACAAATTCATTTTGAAAATGTTTTTAACTTCAAATTTTATATTTATTTCTAATTACAAGTAAAAGATATCATCTAAATTAAGGAATCATCAACACCAAATTATTTTGCGAAGGAATAGCTAGCAATGAAGAATACAAAAATTGAATAGGAATAATCAGGCTAGCTGGAACCAATAAGGGCAGCATTACTTCTTCTCAATAGCAATAATACTAAAAAACACAAAAAAAATAGGAACTTTATGAATTGAATCCAGAATACATAAACAAGAGTGCAATATGTGTAGAGTTTGGTTACAAATAATGCTCGCAATTATTTGGTTAGAGATGCGAGTCAGTGTAAGAAATCTTGCAGAGAGAACTGTTCACTTATTATTGAGGCATTATGAACAAATTAAAACAGCCTCGAAACAATTAAACAATTAAGATTTTGTTTGGAACAGTTTTTTTATTGCTTTCTGAAACAGCTTTTTAAATTTTTGTACTAAAATGTTGTTTTAGAAAGTAGTAAAAAAGTTGTCTCAAACAAAGCTCAAGTGCTCCAACATTCTGCTATCAAAATTAATTAGTGGAGAGAGAATTGTCCTGGCTCACTATAGTTCTTCTCTAACTGCTCAAGCTTTTCAATTACAAATCCTCTAATCCGGTTTTCCTCGGGTAAGGAGTTGTCTTTAAAATCAATGGGCTTGAAAGCCCATCCTTTGTTTTCGACTGAACCAGTGACTTGAACCTACAAAAGAAAATTAAGGTTTATTGGACGCATCATCCAAGAGTGGCTATGCTTATGGAGAAATTATTACGTGCAGAATCAGGATGTAGAGATACGTCCAGACATTCATTTAAAATTTGACACGCGGAGTGCACTTTGGTTACTTTTTTTGTACGCTTTGTGTTTTACCTGCGCTTTTTAAATGCGCCACGCTTTGACTACACTTTCTGTGCGCTTGGCTTAAAGTTTAGCGGACACATTAAATATATAAAGTAAAAAAAAATCCAATTGAATGTCCACGTGTCAATATTTTATTGGAGTCGAGACGTATCTCTATGTCCGGACTACGCACGTAATAATTTCTCATACTTATGAAGGAAGAAAAGGAGGAATGAATGTTTGAAGTGAGAAATTTAAACCAATTGAAAGGTCCCCACAATGGGGAAGATGGATTACTAACTGTAGAGTGTTTCAGTGTATTAACGAGAAAAAAATACACACCTCAGCTTCACTAACAGCATTGATCAGAAGTGCTCCATCCAACGAGAGGCCTCCGAAATAAATATTTTCTCCATTAATGACCAGGGTAGATCTCTGGGAAACAGAACATCCTTTATTTACTTTCTTTTTCACATCCGAAAATATCAGAGCCCATTTTGGTTTCCATGTGATTCGTGGCCAAACTTCCACTTCTTGACCATTGAACACTGTAGTTATAGGATCAGCTATTTGAACTCCAGCCTAACAAACAACCACAAGTGGTTAGGTATATCTCCATTATGCTTAAAAGGAGAACAAAAATGCTAAAGCTTTAATGAGTATAGAATTGATATTTAATGATATTCCTGCTTTTCAGTCTGCCTTCCTCCCTAATTATGATAGCATGGCAACCTATATCATCATGATCATTTTTTTTTCTTATTAAAAAAATATATCATTATGATCATCATTAGTCTTATCTCAACTATTTGGGTACACATTATAAATCCTCTTTTTCATTAGTTTCTGATGAGTGTTATCTGAGGTGTTAAACATATTCTTCACAAATCATTTTAAACAACCCTATTCATATAACCTTAGGTCCTTTTACTAGCTAATCCTCTGATGTTAATTGTATCAACTTATATAATTAGCATATTTTCTACCTTTTGTTGTGATGTCTAAATAACCTAAATTTATTTTTAGCCAGATTATATTTAATTGATGTCATTCCAACATTACCTCTAATGTAATAATTCATTAACTGGTCTTCCTACTTTTGCCACATATTAATTTCACCATTCTCATTTATGTCACATTTAACCTAGATATCAATGACAATTTTATAGCCAACATTCGGGTTCATACCATATTTTTTTCCATGCAAGTTTATAAATTTTATCAAATCACACAAAACTCATAATTATTTCTCTATTTTAATAATGCAACCTTAACTTTAGAAGTTATATCATCATTTATATATTCATTTCTTCTATACAATATATTAAAATACTTAAACCTATGTTACCTATCACACCAAGGTATCACCTTATCTTCTAATGATATTGAATGATAATTAATATCATCATACAATTAAAATATCATATACTCAATCTTTGTCCTACTAATTCTAAGATCTATAACTTTTAAACATTTCCTCCACTATTCTAACTTTTCATTTATTTAGGTGAAAGTTTCACTAATTAGAACTAAAGCAAATGAAAAAAGCACACACCAGGGAAAAGGCTTAATTTTATTATAAAAAACTATCTTTATTTATAGATCCATACAAGATATCTTAATAAAGAAACAAATAAATACAAAATCATGCATAATTGTCCTAACATAATCCTTTCTAAATCAGGCACCCAAATATCGAAGGAGATCAGCGAGATCCAGGCAAGCCTCTCATGGATCCCCATCCTGGCCATGAGATCAAGGGCCAAGGGATGGCTGAGATTTAACAGGCTGATCCATGTGAGCCTCCCACAAATCCCCATGTTGGTTGTGGGATCAAGGGCCAAGAGACGGTAGGGATTTTAACACTCCCCTTAAGCTGAGGAATACAGATCTGTCATTCACACCTTGATAATTAGTCCCAAAAAAGTAGAGTTATCAAGTCCCTTGCTGCATCATAGAGTACTCCATTTGATCAAAAATTTGAGAGAAATTAGCTTCAGACATTACGGTGGCAAAGGATAGCGTGAGGCTATATTAAGTAGGGCATTAATGAAGGTTGCATTTAACAACCACAAGGGAAGACTGACAATGAAGGCACAATAGTAGGAAAGTAAATTTATTTATAGGGTTGCGGCAAGCTTAGAGAACAGCAGCACAAAAATATGTCTCAAACAGCTCAACACTTGGCATGCAAATCTCCTCCCATTCGATGAAGCAAGCCTTCAGCCAAATGCAAATCAGTCATCAGATTGAACCCGAACACTCTTGCTCGATAGACCCCATAAAGGAGTGCAGGTTTTGCACTCTTGCTCGTCACGATCCTAGACCTCATGAGAGGGAACTCTCAACTCTTTCCATATGCACTTAGGAGGAGGTCTTATGCTCAACTTCTCTCGCTTCTGCTCGGTTGAATCTGAATGTTGCAAGCGATAGGAACCCTCGTTCTTGGATGCACAAAGGAAGCAGAAAGATCAATATTCCTTAAAATTCTAGCAATGAAGGCAGGTGAAAGGACTAGTTCCTCAGAATTTTGGCAATGAAAGCAGTGGTTTATTCCTTAGAATTTAAGTAAAGAAGGCTGGTGGTGGGAACTTGTATTCCTCATAAGTTTGGCAATGAAGATCGATGGCGGGAACCTCTTCCTCAGAATTCCAGTAATGAAGGCTGGTGGTGGGAACTTGTATTCCTTAGAATTTCGACAATCAAGACATTTGGTGGGAACATGTATTCCTCATAATTTTTGCAATGAAGGATGGTGGTGGGACCCTGTATTCCTCAAAATTCTAGTAAAGAAGACTAGTGTGGGAACCTATATTCCTCATAATTCCGGCAATTAAGGCTGGCGGTGAGAATCTGGCTCTAATGTCATTTTAAATTTAAAGAATTTGATGGGGAAAACGCTTAATTTTATTATAGAAATTATCCCTATTTATAGATCTATACAAGATATATTAATAAAGAAATAAATAAATACAAAATCATGAATAATTGTCCTAATATAATCGTTCCTAAATCAGCTACCCAAATATGGAAGGAGATCGGCATGATCCAAATGAGCCTCCTACGAATCCCCATCCTGACTGTGAGATCAAGGGCCAAGGGACAGCTAAGATATAACAGCGTGATCCAGGTGAGTCTCCCACGGATCCCCATGCTGATCGTGGGATCAAGGGGTAAGGGACAGTTAGGATTTTAACAGTAAGTATAATAAACCACAAAGCATTTATAAAATACATCAAGCACCACAAAAGAGAATAAGAAAATTTATGTGGTTAAGCCCCACTAAGCCTAAGCTTACGACCACACCAAGATCAAATAATCTACTAAGCTTCAAAAAGAGTACATGAAGTATTACATTTCATATAAAATTGGAGATATAAACAAAGTTATCACTTTGTCTAACTAAAGGAAAATACAATCACATGTAACGACATTGAGGCCTGGATGTGGAGAATGAGACAATGTTGCTCTAGTTATCTTCTTTCCCTTTCCATTGCAGGAATTCAATGAGAACTATTTTATGCTATGACCAAGAGCTTTTCTCTTAGCAAAATTGTAAATAATAGCATTTTTTTTTCTTCTAGAAGAAGCTAAGGAACTCTCCTTATAGGCACCAAAATAAAATTTCCTTTTTTCTTGGATGGCACCCCCTCTCCTCTCTCATCATTTTCTACTCATTTCTTTATGCTTCTGGTTAGGAGATTTTTCAACATAATGCAATTATCTCTTTATATAATGCTTAAACATGATACATAACAAGCTTGAATTCAATGATGCTCGAGTTTGATAGCCATCATCTTAAAAAATTAAGTGTGAATGAATTAATCTCAAGTTAGGTTAGCCACCGTCTTAAAAAATCAAATTTGAATTGAATTACTTGGCCATTATTTTGAAAAATCATGTATGAATGAACCTTAAGTTGGTAGCCATAAATCTTGAAAAATTAATATCAAATATTTTCCAAGATAGTTAATGAAATTATACTCAAGACATAACAATATCTCTCTTTGAGTATGAATTTTCAATGTACTAACTTGATAATCTTTTTTGTGCACTTTGTTATGCGGTCCTTCATGTCTTCATGTCTTCATGTCTTCAGTCTCAAAGGTTAACTAAGGATTTACAATACTTTAAAAGAGCTGTGGCAAACTTGTCATGCTTTGTTGCTATGTTATTGTATTGTTCTTTTATTTTGAACTTTTGTCTATCATGCAATGCCTATATGTCCTCTGAAAGCTCCCACTTGACAAAAAACTTATTTTATACTCTACTTCCAGAATCATCAGCAATATATTTCATCGTAGCTCCCATTATTTGATCTCATATACTTAGAATCTTATTTTTTTTCCTGAGCTTCTATCATAGTTTTTGAGTCCAGCATATCAATACATGATATTACATTCTATAGCACATTGAGTCTGCAAATCTAATCGCCTTCAAGACAACTAACATATCCTTACAGACATTAAGGATGCTCGCATCATCAGAGAATTTATATCCTGTAACACTATGAACACTTAAAAGATATTAAAATAAAAACAAATACATGCTGTAGAGATAACATCTAGCTAACATGCATCGCTGCCCTATCCACCTTTGCTAAATATACATACTTCCCCAATCTCATTTATGGATTCGAATTCCACTATGGCATTTTAGGAACACGGATTATGTTCTGCTGAACCACCATAATACATTTATATGTTACTTTCTATGACTACAATAAAAAAAATCATACCATGCAGATGCAAAATCATGCTAAGATAAAAAAACAATAATATTTTCAGGGGCAAAGCTACAAAATAAGTACAACAACGACAACATCAAGCCATTGTCCCACTACATGGGGTCGGCTACATGAATCCTTTTTCTCCATTGTGTCCTGTTAAAAGTCAAATTCTCTTTTAAATTTAATAAAGAAAGATCATTTCTAATATTTTCTAACCAAGTTTTTTTAAGTCTACCTCTAGCTTTCTTAACATAAGTCAAATCTAATACCTCTACTTTCCTAACCAGATCATCAGAAAGCCGCCATTTTATGTGGCCAAACCATCTAAGGCGACTCTCTCTAATGTTATCTTCCACTGGAGCTACTCTAACCTTTTAATGTATATGAAACATTAAAGAGGGGCCATCAAAATGTAACTCTGAAATAATAATTTCAAATTAAAACTGCAACAGTAAATAAATCACGGACATCTCAGAGACTGCTCAATAAACATTAATAAGCTCAAATCCTTTACCTCAGGTGTTTATTCTGTTAATCAACCTCTCAGCTATCTTATACCATCTACAAGTCTATGAAATAGACCGATTGATAGATATAGTACTTGTATTCAAGTAAGATTTGAGTACGGAGAATATATTCCAACCTATCAGAATTCACATGCTTACCATCTGCGCCATATAGGGAAAACTCACAAGTCACGTAACCATACCCATCCCAGTAGTAGCCATCGTCAATGCTACTGTGCAGACACCCATGAAGGGGCACAAGGGGAGGGACAGGAGGGAGAGAGACAAAGGGTCTCAATAAAAAAGCCCATACCTTTCTTAGGATGAGACTGTTCGCCCTGTAGATTGCCATTTCTCCAGATGTTGCACTGTGGTATGGATTTCCCTTGGGCACCTATAAACAATAAAATGTAAGCCAATAAAAGTAGATTGATGACTAGAAACCCATATGCATATAATTGGAGAAAAAGGAGGAGGAACAACTATGAGAATTGGTGCTGAATGCTACAAACTATAAGGGTTTTTTACTGGTACAGCATTATAAATATTTTTATTTACTGGACACAATTTTCAAATATTATTCGTATACCACCCAATGATTTTAACACTTGTTAATATATCATTCTAGTTAGTTGATTTTAATAGGAAGGAAATATTCTATTAACGTAAAAAATATTCTCTTTAAATCCCTCTAAAAAAACCATGCATTTCCCTTATCTTCGCTAAATATGCTTTTGAATGTTCTATCCGAAGAAAATTTTATGATTATTTTGTTTAAGTTAGAATTTTCTCCTTTAAAAAAGTAAAATATAGAAATATCTTTTTTGTAACAGCTATATTTGTTTATTCAATTAGAAAAAAAAATATACAATAACTAATCAGCACAATATAGCATAAAAAATGTATTCCCCACAAGGACCAAGAGATGAAGAAAGTGACTTCGTGGTGACCTAGGATGGCAAGGCATCTAGTCCCTTCATAAGAAAGAATAAGGCCAATGAATTCATAAATTTATAAATTGTTACATATACCTTTTTATTTCAACCAAAAAAAAAAAGACTAAGAATAAGGAACATGTAAAAATGAAAATGAAAAAGAATCTCTTGTTAGTGGAGAGTCTAACATACAATGACGATGAATGAGTGCAATGTTGTAAGTGAGTGCAATGTTGTAAGTAGAATGTTGCGAGGTATACCCGCACATGAAAAAACGTTAATTTAATTTCTTACATGAAGGCTATATTATGGATACGTACTTATTATCATACATTTTGGATGATTGATGAAATAGTCAATGAATAGTTTTCACCTCTCACATAGCAAATCATAATCAACAAAGTGGTCTAGTATTTGAAGAATGTGGAAAATAGTTGAGCTAAACCAAATTTGGGAGAAGAATGGCTTTTCTTCTGCCAAAATGGAAAATTTTCACATTATAAGTGTGTGTATATTAAAGGAGTGAATTTTTACCTTTTTCCCGCTAAAAACAAACATGAAATAAGTAAGCTTGCTTGCAATAAATGAAAACGCAGTAGTTCCAAACATTGAAAGAAAACCTTGGCGGCATCTTCCGGGTTATTCTTAACAGGAGCATAGGCGAGCCAGGCATCCATGACCTAATGACATAAACCAGTCATAGATTAACAAATGAATTACACCATATCTTATTTCAACAAAACCAAAAAATCACTCATCAATGTTTATTTATTTACTGTGAGGCAATTGGGATAACAAGGTATGCTAATGACCCACATCATTTTTTCCTTCCTTTTTTGTTTCTTCAAGAAGAGTGGGTCTTGAATCCATTTATGTGCGTGAATGAAATAAAATAGGGGCTGAAAGCCATCAAAAAATCCATAGAGTAAACCGATCGGTGTAAGATTCTATCTAAAAGGTAAACATGATCAAATAATGCAAACAACATAGAATAAAGAATTTGCTCTTTCACATGGGAGAAAAAAAAAACTTTCTTACGGACAGGTTTTAACCAGTTTGAAGACAACTAAAAGCACAAAATCAAATAAATCTCGATCAGATTCATTTAATCAAACTTCCTCAAAATGTCTCAATTACAGTATTTATGTTGATGAACAATTCATATGCAATCAGATTATGGGTGTTATGCTCAATAAAAGATTCTAGGTTAAAACAACAATTGTTTTATTATTAGAAAATCATAAGGCGATTTAACATATAACTCACAGAAAAAGAAAAAAAAATTCATTCCCATGCTCTGTAATCGCAATTGGGATTTCTAAAGACTTATGGAATTGGGAAGAATATAAATAGGTCAAGGATATAGGATTTCTAGAGAGAAATTGAAGTCTATTGGGAATGTTAATTTGGAACTGTTGCTTGGATTTTTAGTCCATTGAATTTCATTCCGATGGAGAAAAAGGGGAAATAATTCAGATGCATCCTTCATCTTCGCCAGCGGCTCCGACGCCATTGCAGACTTATTGCTGGTCAATTAGGGGCAATGGGGTTATATAGAGGGAAAATGGGCTTAGGGTTCATGTATTTTCAGTTGAGATTGTATTAGGATACGTGATATTTTGAAGATATTAGAAACCATATTGGGAGGAGTTGTTGCTCAGGTATTATTCATCTATTCCATTGGCATTCCATCTAGCCGATTCGACGTTACAAATAAAATTAATTTTCCATGGTTTCATCATCTTTGGCAGCATAGAGTCTATTCTACTTAGAGATGGTAGTTGACCTAAACCTAATTGGTGGAGATCTTTTTTCCTAGTCATGGGTTGTCGTCTATAACCCCTAAGGGATCTCATAAAGCGAAGTGGAAAGCTTTTCAATTATTCCAATTTTAGGGGCCCGATTGAAATTTGGAAATAGGAAAATATAAGAGGATTTAATTTTTATCATTTCTAATTTAATTGTTCCATCCTAAGGCCACCAATCACTACAAGAAAACTATGTAACAATAACAGATTTTACATCCCAATATTTTCAACCAATACTTCCAACAAACTTCTAGTAGATTGTCCATCATCTAAAGGTCAATTGATATTTTGCCGGAAATGATTAACGACATTGCAAAAAATTAAGTGTTGCAAGGATGAGGATGCTCAGGTTGCAAGGATGAGGATGCTCAGGTGAATGAGTGGCTTTACTCTTAGAGACAGAATCCGAAACAAGAATATATGTGAAAAGGTTGGAGTAGCTCCAGTGGCAGATAAGATTAGAGAGAGTTGCCTTATATGGTTTGGTCACATAAAACGTCGGTCTTTCGATGACCCGGCTAGGAGAGTAGATGTATTAGATTTGGCCTATGTTAAGAAAGGTAGAGGCAGACCTAAAAAGAATTGGTTAGAAAGTATTATGAATGAAAATTTTTTAATTAGATTTGAATGAAAATTTGACACTTAATAGGACACAATGGAGAAAAATGATTCATGTTGCCGACACCACATGGTGCGATAAAGAATTGATGTTGTTGTAATGATTAACGACATATTTCCCGCTTTTTTTTGCCAAAAATTTTTAATTATTATTGACAATGTTATCCATCAGAAATTAGTCAGTAATCTAAATAAAAACACATCGCGAAGATACCTCAATTCTTTGATTGTGCCCCTCCCATCTCCTTTCCCCCTAGGCACGCATCAAACTTTAGCTTATCACCGACGACACGCAGCCACTGCTACTCACCATCTTCTCCCTTACTTCTGCTACGCGCCGTCAAACCTCTTCATTGTTGTTTTCGACCCTAGCAATGTGCTTGTTGCATTTCTCCCTCTTGAGGCAACCACTCGTCGTGCCTCCATTACATTTGTGCACATTTCCAAGTAAAGCGAGATCTTCTCTTGCATCTTGGGTATGAATTCTTCACGAAATCTTGAATAATACGGTTATTTCTTAATTACCTCTAATTAAAAGCAATGTTTATGTACGGATAATCCATAATACTATTATATCAATCTTGATTATGAACGAATCCAAAATTTAAATTTCAATGTCCAACCTACAAAATAATGATTTTGAGAAGTTGAAATCATTTGATCATGTTCTGTTAAATATGTGCTTTTATATTGTTTATCTCTGACTTCAATTTAAATCATTTTGACTGATAAATATTCTTATATTATTTCAGTTAGCCCATTAAGTGGCCTCTAAATCAATAACGTTGAGAAGAAAATTTGGATTTCATGGCTTATTCTTTCATTTGGAATTTCCCTATAAAGTCATGAGATAATTTTCTTACTTGCATATTACATTTGAAAACTGGTTTTTCTCTAAGATTATTTGATGTGGGATTTCATAATGACATTTTTTGTGATTTCATAATGCATTCATGATTGAATTGAAGTGTTGATGATATGCTTCATACAAATGAAGCCTCATGAATCTTGTTCTTATTTATAGAGATCAATCTTTAGTGAGTTGTTTTCATATAAAAATAAAGCAAAATTAGGAGAGACATTCTATCAAAAAAAAAAAACGGAAAGCAAAATAAACTTAAATTATTTACGGTGACTAAAAAAAAGTATGCTGATAAACATGCATAAAACATTTAAAATTTCAAGTAACTTACTGTGAATCCCACCCTTGCAGTTGGGGGAAGTGTTTTTGGATAATCTTGCATCATACATTCCAACCGAGTTGAGGATTTGAATGAAGTCTTACTAGAATCCTTGTATCTGCAACCATTACAATCTATGAAGTAAAAAATATATTAACCTCTACATACAAGAAAACACATACCATACTGAGGATGTTTGTTTTGATCAAAACAGAACCAACTTGGCAAGTGGTGCTCAGACATCTCATCAATATTTAAGATCAGTGGCAATTCATTTGAGAAATTTGGAGGTTGTGTGTTTGAATGTGTTATCAGTGTAAAGTAAACAGGTTTTTAGGGGTTTTCACTTTTTCGGTGTTTGATATGAAGTAAAATTTTTAAAAAAATTAGGGACCCTTATCTTTTAAGTGTTCAAAATGTCGGCTCACTTTTTCCCTGTGCATCAGAGAAAATCCTCCCGCTCTGCCCCCAGTTCTTCCACTCCTCTCTCAAGCATAGGTTTTACTCTGCCTCCGCCTATCCTTCCCTACCTTTGGATCCCATCTCCTCCTACTAGATCCCAATCGATCAACCGATACTAGTGCCACTTATTAGGGAATGAATCAAACATGTACCAAAGATGAGCTAGAAATAATAGTAGTCAACAGCATATTCCACTCAAAAACTGAGCCTATACATAAGGTCAACCACTTTATATTCCTACAACATAATTTTCAACAATTTTATATGGGACAAAATCCAAAACCTCACATACTTCAACAAATAACATAATTCACGATGAATTATCCCATTATCTTGTCAAATTATCCTAAGTCCAACTTTGCTAATAAAGGGTCCTCTGTATTTGAATATCCCCATATACTAAGCTACTATTATGAGCAATCCAGGAATGTCTACCAAAACATTGATCAAAATCAGCATTAGCATCATTAACATTATCCCAACTATGTAGGGACGGCTTAATGAATTATCATTTCGAAATCATTCCAATTGAGTTGCTTAAGGCGTTAAACCTATCTTCCCAACTCATTTTGAACAACTTCTATGATCTATCCATGTTACATAAGTCTAACCCTTCTCCTTTATAATCTTTCAACATTAATTTTATCTACCCTACTAATGGATGCATTTTCCAACCTAAATTGTATATGCCCAAACTACCTGAATCTATTTTCAATTAACTTCATTAGATATCATCTCAAGCGTCCCTCTGATATAATCGCCTTTATATCGATCTTAACATTATCATTTCTATTATGCTAAACCTAGCAATCAACAACTTTTTAACTACCTCACACTCAAATTCATATCACCTCATTTGTCTAATTATAGTTTTATAACAATTACCTTTAAGTCTACGTGATATTCTCTTATCATGAAAACCTAAAATTTCTTGCAATAATAGAACCAACACAAAATTAATCCTTCATCATTCCCCTTATTTATTTCTGCAGTTAACTGGTCATCGCTAAGCTATATCCTATTTGGTTTGATCATACAGAGCAACTCTCTTACAACAGCAACTCCAGCATACATATACATGGAATACGTTATAATTGTTAGTTATTACAGATTTTATCATAATAGATAATTAAAAAGTGTAAAGACTATATAGTAGAAATACAAAACATAACAGCTATAACCTAATTTAAGTACACAATGCCGCATTAACGGTGTGTCTATAGATATGACAAAGCATTGTGTTAGACCGGTCCCGTGCGGACCGGCATTTCGCGAGATCTCCGCCTCCTGCAGAGATCGGGCGTTCCGACCGCCCAAGCGGACCATTTTAGGAAGGATTTTTGAGGAATTTGAGAGAGAAATTTGAATGTAGGCACTGTTTAGGGATTTCCTTTTGATTTGTATGCATTAAATACTTTGTTTTCCTAGGGTTAGGGCATATTAAATTTGGCTGAAATTTGAGATCTCTTAGATTTAGGTTTTCTTTGGGCTCTAGCGGCGTCTAGAGATTTGGTCCTCCTCTTGAATTGAGGATCAAGTGTATCTTGCTATTTTCCAGTGTTCCTTTCATAAAAAAAATACAAATTATCTACTATTTTGTGGTTTTGTGTGGATTTTGTGAAGGCTTCTCGCTGTTTTTCGAAGATTGATAGGAAATACTTGAGATCTACAAGTGTTTCCTATCAAATTGGTATCAGAGCAAGTCTTGGGACCGATGGAGGGCTGTTTTCGGAAAATTCCAGCAGCAATTTTTTGCTCGGAAAAGGAGGAAGTTGCTGTTTTTTTACTCCAAAATCCAGATTTTGTGAATCTACAAACTCCGGTTTGTAATGGCGGCCAAGAAAGTTGATGCTTTGGAGGAGAGGCTTGAAGAGGAGATGAATCAAATCAAAACGACGGTGGAGGTAAGGATTTCCTCCATGGAAGGACAAGACGCCGATCTCCGAAACATGATGAAGAAGATGTTAGAAATTCAAAATCAAACGGCGGCTTCCGTGGCAAGAGGGGAAGGAAAAAGTATGAATTCGGAAATTCGTAGGGAGGAAGAGGAGGTGGAAATCATGGAAGGAAGAAGAAGAATGCCCCATCTGGAGCCTGTCCAGAGGGAAGAAAGAGGGGGTGGATATGGGGAACGCCAAGAGGGATACTATGGTCGTCGATGTGCTGATTTTGAAGATAGAAGGGGGGATTTCGAAGGGGGTTTGGGCTATAGTAGAGCAAGGGAAGACCGGGAAACATAGGGTGCACCTAGCACTTGGGAAATGGGAAACTATGGAAGAATATGGGGCAATGTGCGAGACCAGAAAGTGAGGAAGTTGAAGATGACCATATTCGAAGGAGAAGATGTGTATGGGTGGATTTACAAGGTGGAGCAATATTTCGCCGTCAATGGCTGACGAAGGAGGAGAAGCTGACCGCAGCCGGATTGTGCTTGGAAGGAAAAGCCATGTCGTGGTATCAGTGGAGAGATCATATGAGGCCTATCAGAAACTTGAGGGAATTCAAAAACTGTATAATAGAACGTTTCCAAACCGACCGGGGAGGAGATTTCTATGAGCAGTTATTTGCTCTGGTGCAGGAGGGATCATTAGCAAACTACCATGAGCGGTTTGAGCACCTGGCTAGTAGGGTGGAGCGATTATCAGATATCGTATTGGAGGGGAACTTCATGAAGGGGTTGAAGGCAAAGATCCGAGCGGCAGTGAAAGTTCTGATGCCTAGTGACTTGGAGGAGGCAATAAAGTTGGCACAGCTGGTAGAAAATCAGAATAATATGGAGAAGGGAGCCAAGAGCAGTAGCTCAGGAGGCTCTTACAAGACTACGACCGCTCTTTTAGCCCCAAGCGGACCATTTTAGGAAGGATTTTTGAGGGATTTAAGAGAGAAATTTGAATGTATGGACTGTTTAGGGATTTCCTTTTGATTTGTATGCATTAAATACTTTGTTTTCCTAGGGTTAGGGCATCTTGAATTTGGTTGAAATTTGAGATCTCTTATATTTAGGTTTTTTTTGGGCTCTAGCAGCATCTAGAGATTTGGGAGAGATCGATCCTCCTCTCGAATTGAGGATCAAGTGCATCTTGCTATTTTCCGTGTTCCTTTCATCCAAAAATACAAATTCTCTACTGTTTTTGTGGTTTTGTGTGGATTTTGTGAAGGATTCTAGTTGTTTTTCGAAGATTGATAGGAAATACTTGAGATCTACAAGTGTTTACTATCACATTGTTAGCAGAGACCAGGAAAATGAAAACTGGTTGAATAAACACAGAAAAAAAATATGAGGGAAAAAAATGAAAAACCAGCATTAAGTTTTAATTTTCTTTCATGAAGAAATAGAAACAAATCAAGCATAGAAATGAAGAGAGATTTACTTAGGGTTGACAAACTCTGCGATAGCACCATGTGTTCTATTCAGCTCTTCAATGTATGGTCCAAGTTCCAAAATAAGCTGCACATTAAAAAGCTTCATCATAACTTTGCTTATAAACTAGTAACTATCACTGGTCCTCATAAGCTAATTAGAGTTCAAAAACAAAATAAATGAGATAGTATGGATTTAAGTGGATCATATCATGCATTTACCTGATTTATATTGCCAGGGAAGGGAGAGTATCCAGTTTCACAATTGGAATCTCCATCAGAATGTCCAGTTGTCCTAAGTAGAGGATCGAGCTGATTGTACTCCACATTAATAACCATTGTCCTTCCTGAATTCATTTTTAACCGGGCTTAGTAACAAGATAAACAATAAATGCACTCACATATGTGTAAAGGTGAATGTAAGCATGTGATTGTTGCTGGATATTGATTACGGAGCACATTTGAGCATTCGTTTGTAAAAAGAAAATAAAAGTTCTTACTAATTGAACTCGCCTTCATATAAGTCACCTTCATTTTTACTATTTACATAATATAAAATAATAACATCACATCAAGATAATAGTAGTATGGGTTACAAATTTAATTTGTACTCATCATAGATAAAGTTCTAACTACAAAACAAACACAACACGGGAAAATAATCGTGCATGCAAGGAAACAGGCTTTACTGAAACTCAATTCAATAGAGTTCTCTTCCAAATACTTAACGCAAAAAGAAGCTGGCCATAGTTGTTAAAGGACTTGAACAGTGAGAATAAAAAGATTACCTCGTACAGTTTTCAACAATGTTTTTCCTATTTCAAAGCTTACCTGGAAAGAGTTTATCAAAGACCTATAACTAGGAGTGTCAATATTGAACGCACTGCAAAAATATGACTCGAACCCAAAATAAAAAAATTTGAGCTCAATTTGTGTAATATTTGGATCGACTTTAAGCGACTAAATAAAAAAAAAGGATTGATTCAGGTCAACTAAAGTGACAAAAAATTAGGTCGGTGTGAGTCGTGTCAGATCAAGGTCAGGTTAACCAAAAATATGATTTGATTTTTTAATTTATTTTGTAATGAAAAACTCATATTAAATTTTTTTTTTATTGAGCTATCATGTCCAAATCAAATAATCATGTCAATTTTGGGTCAAAATGATACTAATCAGTCATAACTTAAATATTTTGTATTGGGTCGGGTTGTGTTTGAGTTGCATTTTGACCCATTTATTAAGCAAATCATGTACAACTTGATTACATTTGTGTCAGATCATTTTGAGGTCAAACCCAACCCAACTAATGAACCCAAATTGACACCTCTGCCTCAAACAATGACGTAGTTCCACATAAAATTAAGGGCCACCAACATATACAATTCCACATATAACTATAGCATGCATTTGTATTTATTGTAAAAAGCAAGTTAATTAAGGATCAAGTTTCCAATTGAAGCTCAGGTAAAATCTAAGTGCATTAATTAGAAACATACTAACAACTTTATTCATAAAAGAAAATGTAGAGGTTTCAATTCGAGTTGGCGAATAAGGTATCGGCTTGACCCAAAAGCCCTAATATGAATCATTTAACCTGAACCCGATTCATTAATTATGTGTCAAAATATTTGATCCGAGCCCGTCTCAACCCAAGCTCGACCCACTATTTAATAATGGGTCATGCAATTTTTTTGGACCAAGACAACCCAATTAAACCGAATATGGCATCTTTAACCTAATAATATACATGTTTATTTTAACAATGTGTTTCTTGCTTTTTAAAATCCAAACTCAAATAGTAATCGGGTCAATTTTAAGTTTATTTCAATTTATCTGGATCAACCCAAATCCAAACCCAACTCAAATAATAATTAAGTCTGCAATCTAAACCTAAAACCAACCCGAAAAGTAATGAAGTCAAATTCGAATTTTTTGAATTGGATTCATGTCGGGTCATTATTGACAACCCTAAGGACATGGATGATTCCAAGCATGAAATGAAACAAAATCTCCAGCATAAAAAGATCAGAAATGAAACAAAAAACAATAAAACATTTAAATAGAAAAATTCATTCATATCGATGTGTGAATATATGCTAACAAAGAAAAATCATATGTAAAAAGTCATATCTTAGAAATTATTATTGTGTTTTAATACCTGATCATGTTTTGGAATTTAAAATAAATAACAATGAGTTGGGATAAGGCTAAAGATGATTTGATGCACGCTAGTTACAGTAAATAGTCCAAATATTAGCATCTAAGGAGCTGCAGTTAAAACAAGTTTATTTGTTGCACTCAATTGATATAAGTAAATAATAAATGTAAAGTCAAAAGTTCAGAGTGGAGATAAAGGAAAACATGATGAATCACCATCAGTTGTAAATGTTTTGGAAATTGGTTGGAAGGGGCAAACGACAAAATAAGTATGTACAAGAATACAATAGTCATATTTGTACCATCTGCATGAGTAAGTTTAGTTATTCCACCAATAGCTTCCTTGGCTTTGCGAGGAACAGCAAGAGAGTTAACATGATATCCCTTAGTGGCACTTACTCCCAGCGAAGCTGGAATTGCCTGGATGGAAAGTGAAGAGGATTATACATAACATGATACGTACTTCAGCAGATGACTAAGCACTGCCTTGATCATAACTAGCTACAGTGGAATAAGTAGAGGAAGGTTGCTTAACCTTAAATAGTAGTCCATTAGTATCTTGGAAGAATAGAACCCATCTTAGACCGGCATCATGCCTAAAGAAAGGAAATTCATAAAAATTAGGAAGGCAATGGGTGTGTGGGAACTCAGCCATAGACTTCCAAAGTGACAACAACACTACTACAACCTAAGAAAAAACCATGGGCATCACATGCAAATGATTTTAGCCAAAGTATGGCCAAGCTTTATTATTGATTTGCACATGAAATTTTCAAATGAACGGTGAGTATCTGAGAACATAGTGACAAACCATATGTTCAGGAGGCCACTATTATAAAGAAGAGAATGCACATCACCATGGCCATGAGGTTTAGTCTGTCATAAAACAATCTACAGACGGTAAGGATAAAAAAGGAATTAGCAGGTAAAAATAAACAAAATGCAAACAGACCTGAATCATGTACTTGTCATTAGGGTCTAATGCAATTCTAGCATCATTATCATCTAAGCACGCCACTTTTTCCTGTAAAAAAGGAGCAAAAGGTTGTGAATTTTCCTTTAAGATACAACATTCAAGTAAGGGATGACATACCTGCTTAAGTAGTTTCACTTGTCCAGGCTTCATTCCAAAAAAAGAATTAGATTCCAAAAGCTTTAAAGTGGGCGTATGGGTATCATCTGATGTCATTATGACAAAAGGAATCTCAACGGGATACTTATCTGCAATTTAACAGCATCATCAAAAAAAAGCTGAGAAGTAAATATGCTAAAAAGACTAAGGTTTTGTTTGGGACAGCTTTTTTATGGCTTCTTAAAATAGCTTTCTAATACAAAATTTTAAATTTTGTATTAAAAAGCTATTTTAAGAAATAGTAAAAAAACCGTCCCAAACGAAGTCTAAATAAAATAGGAAAAACATTTGAAACGATTAGAGAAATAATATAGTGATGTATAGCTTTCTGACTAGAGCACTTTCGGCTTTGAGAATTTTGCTGCAAGCAATTCTACAACCTTGTGCTGATTTGACCATTGATCAAACTTAAGGAACATATAGACGGCTTGCAAATGCCATATTGCTATTACTTCTTTCTTTTCTTTTTTTTTCAAATCCATTAAAATTGTCGTCTTTTTAGTTTTTACACATGTTCAAAAACTTCTCAAATGATTTGAGTATGCCTACACCAAAAGGAAAATGAATCATCCATCTCCTTATATATATTATTGTCCATTAGGTTGTTAATTTTGTATGCTTGAAGCATAATTAATTTATTTAGACATTCGATAAAATATGGCATCCTGTTTTTTATTTATTTATTTGGGTGTTGATTGAATAAAAAATAATGCAATAACGTGAACAGATGTTGTTATCCTTTTTAGAATAGTAATCTATCACACCGTAATAATTAATAGGCAAACGTGCGAAATTTCTTCAATTAAATTATACCTCAAAATACCAACTTTAAAAAAATATATATTCATAAAAAAAGTATGTCATCGAGTTCTACTCGTTAAATGGAGCAAATTTATATGTATAAATATATATATTAATTTGCAAAGATGTGAAAGTTATGAAATTGATTACTATTTGAATAAATTTTCTAAAGGTTTTTTAAAATTAGTGTTCAATTATAACTATTACTGTAGCAATTAAAAAAATAAAAAACTCCACTAATCTATCCATTCAACTACTGATTCACTTATTTAAGTTTTAATAGGGCGCACATATATAGGTATTAATTTAAGAAATTTCTAATTTCCTTCCCCTCTTCTCCATTCTGTAATACTTCAGCCAAAGAAAAAGTCGTTGGTTTCAATTAGGCGGAAACTAAGAGCTCGGCAGAGAAGAAAATAAATTCAGTCAAAGAAGAAGAAGAGAAAGAATAAGGAATTAGGGAAGAAAGAAAAGAGTTAAGAGCTTTGGTTATATATAGATATCAAATTATTTGTAAAGTTCCTAATTTAAATAATAACGGATATTATTTAGGATTCAAATGGTATATGAGAAGAGAAAGTTTAGAGGTAAAAATCATTTTGAGAATTAGTCATATCGTTAGGTGGAATTTATAACAATTGAGAATTTTGGGCTTTGTAGATGATTTGCAAACATAAAAAGTTGTGAGGTGTTAAAATTGAGAAGGCAACTCGTCATAGTAGTAAGATATGCAAATGTTCAAGAAAAAATTTCTTTAGTTTTTTTTGCATGTACATTTGCATTTAAGCTAAAGCTAAGAATGAAATGTATTAGAAATTTCTCATATTAAAGAATGGATGTTTATAGCTTAGTAAACATATTCAAACAACCACACATAAATTATAATTATTCAAGCACATAATTAAGTATCTTATGATTATATAAATGTTTACTAATTCATAATAGTTTTAAAAGAAAATCTATAGGTTATCTGTCATCTTCTTTTTCATACACACATTGTATTACTTGCTATTTTAAAATAATGTATAAAAAGTTTTATTACAAATTAGATAAATGGATCTGAAGCTGCTAAGGCTGAGGAATATCATGTTATGTGATGGGCAGCCACGATATGTTATGATACCTATACAGGTGGGGTAAGAGGGACCTCAAGAGAGACATTAGGTTACTCAATGTAGTTCAAGAGTGATAATACACTGTTTTACAATGGCTCTATTGAACATTGATGATGAAGCCTTAAGGGCAAAATTATGTTATGTTGATGGACAAAAAATCTAGACATTTAGATATGACACATTCATAGGCTTAAGAAGAAATGGAATTGAAAAAGAAAAAAATTACTAAATGAAATATGTATATGAATAAATTCAAGATTAGTCATTTAAATCCGTAAATAACATGTTATTGTTCTATATATGATATTATAATAAGTATTATGCTATTACTAATTCATGTGAGCATATATATGTTAATTTATTTTATAAACAACTTATGAATTTTAATGTCTGGAATGTAAATGGCATTTAGTTTATGAATTTTGCTCAGTTATAAAAACATGTATATTATTCATTATTTTTTATGAGTGGATTATGCATTAGAATTACATTTTTTTTAGCCTCATATAGCTTACCAGACTTTTATTTTTGTTGTTGTTATAGAAAAAGGTCAAGGATAAGGTGAAGGATGAGAAAAATCTGGTCAAATTAAAACTTGTATTTTGTTGTATAGCTATGTAAGATGAGTCCTCAGTTGAGGTATCAAGGATGTTTGTTATGAAAATATTTTAGGGTTGTTAGTTGCTCTATATGTTTATACGTATCTCATATATAGAATATTTGGAATGGTTTCACTTTATAGAATGTGAAGAAATCCATCATGAATATTATTGGAATGCTTATGAAGTTAGAATGTAAGATTAACTGTATGTTTTTCTCCATTGTGTCTCACATCATTTGGTAGATGGTATCGACGTTAGGTGTAACTTTCCAATATTTATAATGCAACACAGAAAAATGATGTTAACACTGAACTAATATAAGGGATATTCCGAGAAAGAGTAAGAGGTGAAAATTTATATCACTGTTAAAGAAAATTGATGCAAGACCAAAAGATTGAGGTTGATTCCAAAAGGGTAAAAGATACCTAATCCTTATATTTCAAGAAAAAAAAAACAAAAAACCTATTAAAACTATTAGAAAAAGAAGTCGGTACCAATTCACTTAGAGATAGGGCCTCATTTGTCAGCATCGATGTACCAATACTATAGGCACAATGCCATTGACTGATGATGATACTATATGATGGTATGAGGTCAAATCATTTTCCAACAAGAAAGTTACAGGCAGTCATGATGATAGGGCTTCTAGTATACATATACAAAATTAGAACTGTAAATGGGCAAAAATATAAAAACATTGCCACAAGGATGAAAAATACCTATGCAAAGGTTATAAAACTATTGACCCCCAAACGAGCTAGAAATCCGGCTCAAATCCCACTCAAAAAACCCGCTTACATGCAAATCGGCGCCATTTATGTCGTTTTCGTGAATCCTATCGATAACCCACTAAAATCTCTGCAAATTGGCGCCACTCTCCTTATTTCTCGCGATCGCTCATCCTGCGGGCCATAAATCCCACAATCTCTCAGCTATTTAGAACACAAGCAACCAAAAAGCTCGGGCTTCTTCAATTTCGTGATCCTTCTTCCTCTCGCTCACAAACCAACTGCTTGAAGACCTCATTTGCACATCTCAATTGCCTGAGACCGATCCGTCTACCTCCAATCGGACCTTATAGCTCAATTCCACACCCATTCGATCTCCCTTTTCGTCTGCAAGCCTCACTCGTACCCGACGCATGCGCCAATCCCGATCGGAAACCAACCGAGCCTCACCCGACCAAGCAAGCTCTTGCGTACGCCCCTCCCAGCCAACAACCCCACACAATCGATCCATCTTCACCTCCCAGTGTTGCAAACATCCGACCAATCCCGAACTCCAAGATCCCGCCGTACGTGACCTCTCAGTCAACCTCCACATGATTAGCTCGAACCACCCACAACTCTGATCCAACAACCTTCCAATCCCCACATCTCTGATCCACCAACCTTCCAATCCCTATTTGCAAATCGAGCAGCCAATCACCTTCACATAATTAGCCGCACATATCCGGCTATAGTCCCAGTTCAGATCATTTAGTTGAACCTTGCACTACCCTCCCCTTCCTCCTAACTTCCAATTCCTTTGCTCATCCAACCTCACATCAAGCCCAGCCACCTCCCCACTCAACTCTCAAGAGCTGTAACCTTCCTCCTCTACCCGAGCAAATCAGCTCACCTTCTCCCTCACAGTCCCTTTAGCCTTCATACTTCTAGCCCCACACACAACAATAACTTCACACATTAAATCCTCACATACTCAACACTCCAAACCACTTCAAATCTTCACACATTAAATCCTCACTCACTCATAAACATTAAATCATCATAATCATCATTATCATTATCAATTAAAAAAAAAGAAGAAAAAGAACGACAAAAACAAAGAAGAAAAAAAAAGAGATTAAAAAAATTAAAGGGAAAGAGAAGAGAAGAGAGGGAAAAGAATTTTTTGTGTTTCGTGATCGTCATCGTCGTTGTTGTCCTGACACCGCCACCGTCATTGCTCGTCATTGGTGGGGGCAAGAAATAGCCCAGGCGTCGAAAACCAGCAGCCGGCCGGAAATCCAAGAGGCAAGACACGGAAAACAGCAGCCCAAGGGAGGAAGCCAAAGAGCCACCGCTTGGGAAAAGACAATTCTTGGAATTCCAAAAGCCGGTTTGGAATTCCAAGAGACCTGCATAATTAAAAACATAAAAAGCATAAAAAGTACATTTAATATAAGATAAATATGAACTAAAATCATAGATAATAATGAGCTAACCCTTAGTTCAATAAATGAACTAAAGACCAGCTCATAAATGAGCTAAAATTTCAGCTCAATGATTGAGCTTGTAAACTTGAGGGAGGCCAAAATTGATTTATTTTGGACCTGAGTTGACCCCCCCTTTGTCTACATCAGATTCTCTCCTTCTTGAAGAACTCATCTCCCGATGAGTCAGTTCTGGTTTCTCTTGAGGAGGTGCATACTGTTCATCTAGCTATTTGAATTAAGGGTTAGCTCATTATTAGCTATGATTTTAGTTCATATTTATCTTATATTAAATGTACTTTTTATGCTTTTTATGGTTTTAATTATGTAGGTCTCTTGGAATTCCAAACCGGCTTTTGGAATTCCAAGAATTGTCT